ACAAAATATTAGCCAAATCGGAAATGTTTAAGACATCTAATTGGGTTCAAAGAAATGAACGAATACTTTGTTATATAAGAAACAATGAAATTTTATCTTGATAATTAAATAGGCAAATGGTTTCAGATTAAATTGAATTTTTGCAAGAATGATCTATGAATCGAGACTTACAAAATAGACGGTTCGGATCGTTGAAGTTCGATGTGAAGTGAGCCCCACACCTAATCCCCATTTTTTGAAAAAAAAATGGGGATCCCTTTGCATAAAGGGCCTGTATATATATATATATATATATATATATATATATATATATATATATATATATAGAGCTTAAGGGGAGGGATCCCCATTTTTTGAAAAAAATGGAGATTAGGTGTAGGGCCCACTTCACATCAAATTTCAACGATCCAAACCGTCTGTTTTGTTAGTCTCGATTCATAGATCATCCTTGCAAAAATTCAATTCAATCCGAAACCATTTGCCTATTTAATTATCAATATCAAATTTCATATTTTCTTATATAACAAAGTATTCGTTCATTTCCTTGAGTCCAATTAGATGTCTTAAACATTTCCAATTTAGCTAATATATCCCCATTTTTTTCAAAAGATGGGGATCCCTCCCCTTAAGCTCTATGTATATATATATATATATATATATTATATGTGTGTGTGTGTGTGTGATTGACAATTCCACAACTCTTATAAATTGCTTATTGCGTATAATTACTATGAATGCTTTGAAGTACTTATGTAAATTACGAATGGCTTGATCCATGTTTAGGGTACATAAGCAGTCTAACGAGACGTTAGATGCAACCATACAATATTTGAAACAAAAACTTTGTTTGGGAATTGAGCAATGTGAAGGAAATCGGTGAAAATATGAGATTTAACCTTATGTTTTTAGTGATTGGATGTTGGTTATAAATCAATGTGGAAGGAATCAAGAAACTAAAATAAGGAAACGTAAGTAATGATAGTTAATTAAACTAATGTTTAGTTGGACTTATCCCCAATAATTATTTCCAAAAATAAATAATTCGGGAGTAGGACGTTATAGATTGTGCATTTTACTCCACATTATATATATGTATATATATTGAAAAAAATACAATGATATGGTTGAGTTTTAGACTTGCATTATGGCATATCCATGTGTATACTACTTGCACAAAATTATTATGAATGCTTTGAAGTGCGAAGATGAACGCGGAACCCACAGGTAAGTTCAGGTGAGTTATGGTATTAGTTGAAATGATTGAGTTATGGCATGATCACATTAGGTTTTAGGCAACTCCGACATTGTCGTACAAGTTGCATATGAGTTGTATATGTCACATGATATGCATTTAGAGCTCATAAACCTGCACCACGATGTTAATGCTCTCACCCGTGGCCAAGGCACAGTCCTTCACATGATGTTCATCTGCCGCACCTTACGCTCACCTTGGATCCTAGGAAGGTGCACAAGCCTGTCGTATAGACCACTATAGGTGGTTCCGACTCATAGGTAACCCGCGATTATTTGCATAGTCTTCACGTGATTGTAGCACTTAAGCATATTTATTTACACCCAGTCATGTCTTACAGACCACCTTAGGTGGTTCTGACTCGTGTGCAGGTATACTTATGAGATATGGATAAGTCGTACAGTTCACTATAGGTGACTCCCGACTTATGAGCTAGCATATGTGATGAGATATAGATAAGTCGTACAGGTCACTAGAGGTGACTCCCGACTTATGAGCTAGCATATGTGATGAGATATGGATATGTCGTACATGTCACTAAAGGTGACTCCCGACTTATTAGCTAGCATATGTGATGAGATATGGATAAGTCATACAGGTCACTAGAAGTGACTCCCGACTTATGAGTTAGCATTGATTGATAAGATATGGGTGCAGTCGTACAGGTCACCATAGGTGACTCTGACTTGCGTGCTAGTATGGGTTATTAACCACATGATAATATATATTGCTGATGAGATGTTGTGTTGTGGTATATTTATGGTTTACTGTTGATATACTTTTGATTTCACATTGATACATGGTATAATTTTCTGGATACTATACAGGTGTTGCAGCGATGGGTTATAATGTTGTAGATGGTTTCTATTAAAATTTCATTTCTAGGGCCACTCACCCTTGTTTTGTTTTCACCTTCCAGGTTTTATTAGCTGAGCTTTCTTATCATTGAAGATTCGTGGCGATTCTTAGTATTGGAGATTCTTTCAAAGGTACGATTCTTAATCCACTCTGGTATTTAGGCACTCGTAGGTTTAAATTTATTCACATTTTTACACATCTTCATACTTTATGGCTTCGTTACCTTACAGGTGTCGGCCAGCACAGCTCGATTCGAAGTCCTAGTAGACATCCCGGGTCAGGGTATGTCACCAAGCCTTCGACCCGTTCCCTTCTTTGACCCGACTCGTTGGGATTTATGAAATCCGACGATTTTCCGTTGATTTTTCCAGCCTTCTTCAACCTCCCCTCATCACCAAAACTCATCACCACATCCCAGCACCTAATTCTAACCAAAACCTGACGAGATTTGCTTTGATTGTGCGAGGAAAACCACCCACGGGTCCGAGGGTTTCTCAGTGTTTATCCTCTAATTATGAAACATTTTCTTTGAATTACCATTACCATAACACTCATATAGAGGCCAGAAACAATGCTCAATCATTAGTTAGAGCGTCATAGTTGATTTAAAGATGAATCAAGAATCACCCTTTATAGGGTTTTCGGCGGTTTGGAAATTTGGGCTTTTCCCGGCCAAATTGGCCTTAGTCACAGGTATGAAAGTTGCTCCACTCACTGAGATATTCATTTCTGTGAAGTTTGAGAATTTTTAAAAATAGTTGAATTTTCTGGCAAGTCGGGGTGGCCGGCCGCCACCCACGTAGGCGCATGGCCAGAGGGTCGTCAATTTTATTTTTAGGATAAATTAGATGCCTTGAGTTCAGTCCTAATAATCATATGACGTAGATTGATATTGGAACCTAAATTCTCTACAATACGTTAATAGGTCATTATATGAATCAACGATTCGACCGTTGGATCGTCACCAAATTTTAATATATTATAGTACATAATATTTGAGAATTTTAGAAACTTACGGATCGGGAATCCGACGTACAGATATTCCCGAATAGGATATGTAAGTTAAGTGTTTTATTGACAAGAATTATGAGATATGGTTTGATAATTGTTCTAGGTTTGATAATTGTTCTAGGCGCCGATCGTTCGTAACGCCTTGATATTTGTACTAGGGAGTTGTAGTGCAGACTCCAGGTGAGTGGGCTTTTGGTTTTCAATATATGTATATATGCTTTCCGTTTTTCCCAGAAAATTTGATTTAAATGATTTTGTGTTTTATATGCCATGTCAAATGCTTTATATTTTGGTATATGCTTTTATTAGTTGTGTATGTTATTTTTAACGCTGCGGACGCTCAGGTAAGTTCCAGGTGAGTATATGTATTGATGATTGTGAGTTGCATTATGATGGTTATATATAAAGGCATTTAGAGCTCATAAACCTGCACCCCGATGTTAGTGCTCCCGCCCGTGGCCAGGGCACAGTCCTTCACGTGATGTTCACCTCCCGCACCACACGCTCACCTTGGATCCAAGTTTGGTGCACAGTCTTGTCGTACAGACCACATTAGGTGGTTCCGACTCGTAGGTGACTCGCGATTATTCGCACAGCCTTCATGTGATCGTTGCACTTGAGCGTACTTATTACACCTAGTCCTGTCGTACATACCACATTAGGTGGTTCCGACTAGTAGGTGACCCACGATTATTCGCACAGCCTTCACGTGATCATTGCACTTGAGCGTACTTATTACACATAGTCCTGTTGTACATACCACATTAGGTGGTTCCAACTCGTATGCAGGAATTGGTTAATGAGCTATAGGTTTAGTCGTACAGGTCACGTTAGGTGACTCCGGCTGGCATATCATTTTACTTTGATTTATTTCACCTGGCTTACATATTTCCTTGTTGAAATGCTATGACATGGCATACTTGGTTTTTACTGCCTTTGTGCATTGTTTTTACGTATATACATATGTATTACTATTTTCTGGGAAAATTATAAGGGTTTTACAGTGAGGGGTTATTATTTTTAGAAAGAGAAATGGTTTTGAAAAAGGGAACTTTAATGAAAAGCACCCGGTACTGTTCACTTTAACGAAAAACCACATTTTTACACTAAAAAGTCAATCTTTGTACTATTCACTTTACCCTTTATTTTGTCCTTATCATTAAAACTCAAAATTTTCAAGCCATTTTCATTAGTTTTCCTTTTGAAAAACTTTGTTTTTGCCCACTCACATTTTCTGTTTTGCGCCCCTCCAGGTTCTAGTAGCAAAGTTTCTGTATCGACGAGGAATCTTGGCATATCCCAGTACAGGTGGCTTCCTATGATGGTATAATCCTTATCTTACCCTACTGTACTTTACTTAGGCTCTGACATCGCACACTCATGTACTTAGGCACTTTTAGGTTTAAATTTATTCACAATTTTCACATCACTACACTTTATGGCTTCGTCACCTTCCAAGTGTCGGCCAGCACAGCTCAATTCGGAGTCCTAGTGGACATTCCAGGTCACGGTGTGTCACCTCATGCAGGCTTCTAGAGTTTTCTCTACTAGCCACTTTTGAATCTCTATTGATTGGGCCACTTAGGACGGTATTTATTTTTCAGTTGAAACCCGTATGTATTTTTGTTATCTATCGTTTTTGTACTCGCTACAGAAAGAAACTATTACTCATGCAGTGGTTGCATCAATGTAGTTCTTTTTGTATGCTAGTTCTTTTTGTTTTATGTCTGTTTGGACTTTGTTTAATAAATTACTCTACCTTTGACCCCAAAAAAATGATAAGAAGCACAATTTTCAGTCATTGTATCTCAAAAGTTAAAAACAAATACCATTAGAGAGTCTGTAGCTCAAGTACTTAAACGCATTTATTCTGCGCATATGTTCGAATTCCCTAACCCAATACCGTAAACATAAATAATATAAAAATTATATATACTAAAGCACAATAGAAAAAACATCGTTCCTAAGCACAGTGAAAGGACATAAATACCCCCGTTTTTCTATTCAATTTTTTCTTTCTTTTTCTTACGTGCACAATGAAATGATGAAACAGGTATGGTATACGTGTTGTTTTTCTGCGTTTACGTGCTATCTACACTACAAACCCATCTTCGCCGTCCACCGGAAAACCCAAGAAATTTTGATCGTCGGCCGACACCCGACCTGCAACATCGTCTTGATTCTGCAAATTCCATCGTCAAATCCTTTCCGGCCCTTTTCCCCAAAAGCTCTCTTACCGATTGTTTCAACAACAGTGGCCACCACTCTTCCCCAAAGGTAAATTTCTCCTCTCTTTCTTGCATTCGGAATCTTCGAAATCCTTATCTACATCGTTGATTTCTGGAATTTCGATTCCACAGAAACATGGTTCTCTCTACAGCACTACCCATTTTCCACCAAAATCACATCTCAAACTCTTCCAATTTCAAACACGACATGCCGGCGAAGGTCAGTACCCCACGCATACCCTCTACCCGACTCTGTCTAATTAGTATCACCGAGATATATTTGATATGGGATTGAAGTGCGAAAAATGGGTTGGTTTGAATGCACTCATTTTAGTCTTTTTGTATCTGATAGAGCAGATGAAAATAGAGGGAAACAAAAATCTATCTCAGTTTTATTTATACATCCCCTTTTCGTTTTCTAATATGTACGAACTAACAACTCTTTTTTTTTTTTCAAAATTTGTAGGAACTAGCTGAAACCTTAAACCTCAACATAATGAAGGTGAAGATGAGCCGGAACAGTGAAGTAGGAAAATCTAGATTCAGTAACATATTCATAGTCTATCTAAATATTTTGAATAATGAGCAGTTTAATGCTGTTAATTTTTTATCACGGTAATATGTTGCTAATTTACCTTCTCAAACAACCGACATTTAAATATTGATATATAAAACTTATCTTATGTTAAATAGTATTATCTTAATCGGTGTTCTTAAAACTCGCAGCAAAGCGCGGACATTCATACTTGTAAAAACTATATGTGATGTGAAATGACAATAGGCTGCTTTGCACGCCTGACAAAATCATAGCTTTCACAAAGACACTAGATGCTTTGAATGATATTCAAAGATAGAGACAAGTGACATACAAAAAAACACAGGGGAGGCAATTTCGTTCCCTAACTAGACCCACCTAGGGAAAAAGCTAACCCAAAAACAAAAAATCTTGGTGGAAAGAACCCTAAAAACCCATCTCTCACCATTAAATTAATATCATAAATAAATAAAAAAAAGGGAAAAAAATATTATAACCAAATTAGGAGAAATATTAAAATTCAAAAAAAATAAAAAATAAAAATTTCAAGTAGGTTTCAAGTCCTGGAACATAGTATCCCACCTGAACTCTTCAACTCCAGTACACCAATAACCATCATCATTTGCTTCATCACCATCCATCATCTTTTCCTCCTTCCGTAAATCATACACCACCGGACTCGAAAAGCTATCGACATGATGGGGTCCGGCGGAAACCACCAGAGGACTCCCATTTGTGAGCAGCAACCGGCTGCCTTGCTTGGCCGTGATCAACTTCTTGTTCCTCTTCAGCATGGCTCCTCTAAACCTTGTCCTGTAATTGCTTGGCCTTGTCACGAGCGCCAGCGCCGTTGAGTCCCGATCCCGGTGAATCCACGTGCGTATGTACTCGGATAAACACCTCTTAGTCCTCTTGATTGCCACCAAAAGCTTTCGCATCGGACGCGGAGTGTTCATGCCCTTTGCTTTTCTTGCAAGCTTGAGGATCTCTAGCCTGTGTTTGGCTATGGAAATTCCCATGCTTTGAAGAAACTCATGGTTAAAGTACATTATGTCCTCTTCTTCTAGCTCATTGTGAGCAAAAGCGAGGCCGTACTCGTACACAAGCGACGGCTCTAGGCCGGTTTTCGACAGCCATGAGAACCAATCCATGGATTCAAATGATGTAGGATGATCTAAAAAAAACTTGTGTAGTTTGTGCGTTAGGATTTGAGAATTGAGATGTAGCTATAGAGAGAGAGAGAGAGAGAGAGATGATATATATAAAGTAGGAGATGGAGTTTGTTGTGGTGACCTAGACTAACTTTTGGGGGTTTGATTTTTGCAATAGGGGATTGGTGGTTAGTTCAAATCTTGAGGGTGACTAAAGAAAAAAGTGTGGGGTTTGCGTGTCCATTATATCCTCCTCCAAAAGAATTGAAACCCTATCCGATTTCTGGGTCCAGAATTGACAGATCTTGAGATCTGGACCACTCATTTTAACCTTATGGTCTCGATTAGTCAATTTTACTGACCCACTCACATAAACTAAGGGTCTAAATCTCTCTCATTCTCTTGAACGATCTAAATTTATCGGTCCGTCGGCTTCGGACTGCGAAATTCAAAGAGGATGTGAATTACCTCCAAAATAGGTTAAAGGGACTGAGAGCAAAGGGGTTCCATGTGGAATTGTAGTGCCATCAATCACGGCATGGGAACAAAATAGGGTGTGGAGTGGGACAATCCCATTACTTGTGTTTGTGCGTTTTTAGTTGGAAGAAAGTGGAATAAATATACTCTCCAATCCCAGAAATTGACAAGTGCTACCCTAGTTGTTGCAAGAGATAATGAAACTTCAGGGGAGAAATAAATGAGACTTTGGTTAAACCAAAAGTGAAGGCAACTCAATTAGCAATTGATATGATATCTAATTATATACACATGAATTGTATAATGATGAGTTTGAAGAAAGTAGGTTTCATCATAAAATTAATTGACAAGCGTGGTGTTGGAAGCGTGCAAAAGATGCAGCAACACAAAGTCTCCAATTTTTAGGAGCTTCCAAAAAATTTCATCATCGTGACATGCACATATATTTTCTAATAAAAATTAATAAATTGTTTTTGCATGACGATTGAAATTTCTATAACCTGTTGGTCTGAATCAACAACCATACTTGTTTTTGAGTTGCATTACATTTACACGCATAGACCATTATTTTGGATTCTCCAACATCAAATAATGTGCTAGGGTAGGGAGTTGCTAATGCTCGTACATAAATAAAATTCATCAACTAATTAAATGAGATACCATCGCATCAGTTGCAATTTACAAAGTTAGGATACATAAGTTTTGTTTTTTTTTGTTTTGAACAAACAATAATATTTCCAATTTAGGGGTGGGGGGTGGGTTAAGCCTTATAATGATCTCACAATAATAATATGGTTCAACTTCGTTTTTTGACGAAAATTGAATTTAAAACCTCTCACTTACAAACGAAGATGAATACTACTAAATTGTAGTATTAAGAGGTGGAGCAACTACAATAATTGTTTTCTTTTTCTCTTTTCATGGCCAAACACGTTGCATGAGTGCAATATAATTTGGCCACCTAAAATGATTAAAAACATCTTTTGAAACCACCAATTTTATTTAATCATGCAAATTTCTAATTAATAAATTGAAGAATCCCCTAATCAAAGAAGTCAATTCCGAGGCTGGTTGTTGTGGCATTTGGTTACTGAAATCTTATATAAGCAATCTGTGACATGGGAATCTGGTGCAGATTGACTGTGATTAAGTATAAAGCTTTCTTCTTCTTTACTAAACTGGAGGAAGCAACAATGATTAACATGTTACTTAATCTTGCAGTATTTAATTATGCAGAAACTAATTATTCATAATTTTAGACGAATCTAGCATCTGAAAACGTTACAGAAGTGAGAAGGCAAATGCTTGAAAAAAATTAACTAATTATTCATAATTTTAGACGAATCTAGCATCTGAAAACGTTACAGAAGTGAGACGGCAAATGCTTGAAAAAAATTAATTAATTAATTGTGCAAGTTTATGGTAGTAGGTTTTTTCTGCCATCGTCAACTAATTGATTTCTAGCATTTTGTCATCTGGGACACTACTTTGCAAGGAGACAATTTTTTTCATAGTTATGCCCTAACAACTTATGGAAATTTTTCTTTAATAAAAAATGATTTTTTGTTTGTTAGAGTATAGGTTTAATATTAAATTTCAATGTTTTATTTTGTTTTTTTATACAACGCTTATAATAAGGGATGAAAATTTTGGCTAGGAGCATACAGTGAGAGTCATAATAAATTGGTATCAACTCATCCACGAAAAGTAAAAAGATATACGCGTAACTTAAATCATTCCGGCTTGAAGTTGTAGAATACTCCAGTACTAGTATTGAAAATAATCAATCTATCCCTAAAGTTTTGACAATAAAAATAATATTAGAAAGATATACATCTACGTTGTAGCTTGACTACTTCTACTTTAGCCTTCTAACTCTAAATATACAATAAACCAAGTCCTCATAAAGCCAATCTTAGTGTATAAGGCACCCAAAAAATCCCTAGTGCATCTTTAGGTCGGTCGGGTTGCTGCCTTTGAGAGATTTTGTTTTGATCGTCCTCCAATCTGCTACATGGCACTGCCCAATAAAAGGAAAGCCACTAATTATGCATTAATATAAAGTGTCTTCTTTCTTTTCATTCCATCAACTTTAAACTTAGACACATATGGGTGATATTTTAGTTTGTTTATTAAAAGATTCAAAACTTATTTGTTGCTATTTAAAAGAAAGTGGGTTGTTTTCGTATACTGCTTTTAGTTTTTTACCCATTTTTTTTTTATTATTAAAGTAACGAATATGAGTATACAAGAGTTTGTAAGAGACTAAAACGTATATGTTTAATATAAAGAGTCATGTCTAGTTTAGATGAAAAATTTATATATAGAGTTCTATAAATAAAAAGACTACTCAAAGATAATACCACACAGAGATAATACTACATTTTAAATTAAATTCTCGTCTCTTCACTTATATGTGAAATTTTGAAATTTACGATTTAGTAGATAATTTATTTTCTCATTCCCTTAGTATAAATATATATTGTTGTATAAAAATAATAATATTTCTCTATATATAGTATATTTCACTAATTCATTTACTCTCCCTATTATATCCTCTCCTATTCATGCTTCATCAATGGCCAATCAATAAACAATTGGTACTCCTATTTGCCGTAATTGTGTTTAGTGGATTAGACATATCCTGTGAGATTTAAGGAGTTATAACTTGAAAATGTAGACGACTCTCACAACATGCATGTAAGGAGGCGTCTACAATTTTAAGACAACAACTATATTCCTCCTTGCTATACCGTTTTAGATATACTCAACTCCTTCGTATTAATTGTATTGTTTTATATTTGTACATGTCATTTGGTTATCATTTACTTGATTGAATTTAAATGAGTACTATAATAAATGTTTAATTAAAATTACTAACACATTGAAATTTAGCTCCAACAAATTGGCGCCTGCAAAATTACCCGTAGACATTTGTGCTTTGCGCCACAATTCACATGCCCCTATCAATTACAATTTAGACCAGAAGAGGTTCACGGGCCCTATTAAGTGGAGCACTATTTCCATGTGAAGAACAAATCTTCTTTTTGTTGATCTGCTTATTCTTCTTTATCTTTTATTCTTTTTGTTGATGATTAAAATTGGAGGTTTAGAAACAAACAAGTGACACGAAAGAAAGCAAAGCAAAGGTATCTCTGATTCTGATTTATATATATACAATTGTGAGAGTTGAAGATGCAATCCAAATGACCGCCCCAACAAACAAGCCAAGATGCAATCCAAATGACCGCCCCAACAAACAATAATTAACAACATAATAAAATGCCGGCCTTTCGGTTATCATCACTTTGTGAACATAATCACACTAATAATACTTGTGTTCCCAATGGGGAATTTACATATTTCACATTTTGCACCTAACGTATGATCATCCTATGAACTCTATAATTAAAATCGTTCAATTTCTTAATCTTCATATGAATTTTGTTCCTACAAAAAAAAAATTGAATCGGAGATCGTTTTAGGCACTTAATGCATCAAACAAATGAATAGATCATCTTGAATATGTTACTCGATACTCACCCCATCAATTTGTTCCATATACATAGATGACTAAACAATCTTCGATTCAAATGATTTTTTTGCAGGGACGATCTTCAAATGAAGATTAAGAAGTTGAATAATTTTGATTATAAATTTATATAATAAATATACATTATATGAAAGAAGCGGAATATATGCATCCCCATAAAGGAACTAGTATCCTTCTAACCTAATATACTATACGTGTGTGCATGCATGCATCTAACTGGGCAAGCAATTATCATTTAATTCTTTTGCTACAAGCGACGTTATTATTTAAACTAAACTAAAAGGAGAGAAGGGGAAGGTTTGAATCTAAAATGTAAGAAGTTATAACGATGACTGTTGTCGTCCATGTCATTTGTGGCAGCGGTGATGGTGGAGTTGTGGATGTTCCTGAGGATGTCGTCCGTGGTGATGGACGGGTGCTTGTGATGGTTGTCGTCGTTGTCGGCTATGAAAGTGGAGAGGGAACATAGAGACGACCTTCTCTGAGGCATTTCCGAATACGTGGTTCCACATGTACAATTCGTTATTGAAGGCGTTGGGCCCACATGTACACTACATGAGCACATTACCAGAAATAACACATTGATTTAGCGCATTAATATTTATGGACGACATTGGTCGATTTTGTAATTTAAACTATCTTAATAGGATGGATTAATTTCACAAAATATTTGTCATAAAAACTCTTTCGGTAAAATACCCATTTTTTTCTTTGCTTCCTTCGCAACCAAACTCGCTTCTGTTACCGTCGGGTTTAAGGCTACAACGGCTCCAACTATGCTCAATGATACATCGTCATTTATCTCACTTGCGTTCGCTCTCCACTCTCTCTTCCCCAACTTCACAAATCCGTCATCTCTTGCAATGCAACAAAGAAATCCACAGGCTCTCCCAACTCGGCCGATTAACAGATGCACGCCAGGTGTTTGAAAGAATGCCTCAACGAGACTCGGGCTCTTGGAACACTATGATTTCTGCGTACATCCAAAACGGGCATTTGAACAAAGCCCAAGAACTCTTTGATTCATTCCGAGATAAAAATGTGAGAACTTGGACCATTTTGCTATCCGGGTATGCGAAACATGGGCATGCGGGTGAAGCTCAAGCGGTGTTTGAGTCAATGCCTGAGCGTAATGTAGTTTCGTGGAATGCTATGATTACTGCTTATACACAAAATGGTTTGTTAAATAGTGCTAGGGACGTTTTTGATCAAATGCCTGAGAGAAATATAGTGTCATGGAATTCAATTATTACCGGGTACTGTCGTTGCGGTAGGATTAATGTAGCTCGTGAGCTTTTCGATCAAATGGAGGACAGGAACATTGCCTCTTGGATGGTTATGGTTTCTGGTTATGTTGAGATAGGTGAGTTTCATGAGGCTTTGATGGTTTTTTTGATGATGTTGAGGAGCAGTGTGAGGCCAGACCAGGCCATACTAGTTGCTGCCTTATCAGCTGTGATGAGGTTAGAAAAATTGGAGTTGATTGAGAGTTTAAGGGTACTGGCTTTGAAGACAGGGTGTGAGAGCAATGTGGTAGTGGACACGGCAATATTGAATGCTTATACAGCAAATGGAAGTTTGGAAGATGCGGTGAAGTTTTTCATGAGAATGCCACAAAGGAATGATTACTCATGTTCGACAATGATTGCTGCATTTTCGCGGTGTGGTAGGTTGGATGATGCCATTGCATTGTATGAGATAGACGCTGAAAAAGGTGTCGGTACACAGACGGCGATGGTAACTGCCTATGCTCAGAATGGGAGGATTCACAAAGCAAGGCATATATTTGATAAAATTGGAAACCCTACTGTGGTTGCATGGAATGCTATGGTTGCAGGGTATGCCCAGAACAGAATGCTTGAAGAAGCAAAAGATATTTTTTCCAAAATCCCGGTACCAAATGCTGCTTCATGGGCAGCCCTGATTTCTGGGTTTGTCCAGAACGGACAAAGCAAAGAAGCTCTGGAGCTCTTTGCTGAGCTTCATAGATCAGGCACTGTACTGCCAAGTCATTCAAATTTCACCAGTGCTCTCTTTGCATGTGCAAATATCAACAATGTTGAGATGGGAAAACAAATACACTCGCTTGCTATTAAAACAAGGTACCAATTCAATTCATTCGTGGGAAATGGGTTGATATCAATGTATGCAAAGTGCAAAACCACATATATATCACAAGCTTCTAGGATAAAGAGAGTGAGAGACACCGTATCTTGGGTTTCAGAAAGTTGTACGTTGGATGATGCTCGAAAAGCTTTTGAACAAATGCCAAAACGGGATGTTGTGTCATGGTCTGCTATTATATCAGCTTATGAGCAAGCCGGGCAAGGAGATATTGCGTTCAAATTGTTCCTTGAAATGTTATCCAGGGGACTGAAACCAAACCAATCAACAATAACCAGCCTCCTCAGTGCTTGCGGGTACCTTGGTGCAACCAAGCTTGGGGAACAGATTCATGCCTTGATACACAAACTTGGACTGGATTCATGTTTGTTTGTGTGCAATGCTTTGATAACAATGTACTTCAAGTGTGGAAGCCCCAATGGCCTTTGTATCTTTCAAGAGATGCCTGATCGAGATATTGTCACTTGGAATGCTGTTTTGACCGGGTGTGCTCAAAACGGATCAGGCAAAGAAGCTGTTGAAGTTTTCAAACAAATGGAAGCTACTGGGATTTCTCCGAATGAAATTAGTTTTGTAGCACTGTTATGCGCTTGTAGCCATGCTGGGTTAGTAGACGAAGGATGGGCTTATTTCAATTCCATGAGCCAACATTATGGGATTATGCCCTTGGTTTATCACTATACTTGTATGGTTGATCTCCTGGGTAGGGCAGGATTGCTTTCTGAATCTGAAGATCTCATTCAGAGCATGCCGGTAGAACCAGATTCCGTGATTTGGGAAGCACTTCTTGGTGCCTGTAGGATCCATCGAAACACTGAACTTGGCCAGAGAACGGCTGAAAGGCTTTTCCAAATGGGAACACGGAGATCTGGAACCTATGTTTTATTATCAAATATGTATGCATCTAAAGGCATGTGGGAGAAAGTGCGGGAAGTAAGGGAAATGATGAAAGATAGGGGAGTGACCAAAGAACCCGGATTCAGTTGGATTCAGATCAAGAATAAGGTTCACTATTTTCTAATGGGGGATAAGGCACATGACAACATCAAAGAGATAAACCTGACAGTAAATGAGTTGTACAAACGCTTCCGAGCAACAGGTTATGTGCCGGATACTAGTTTTGTTCTTCATGATGTGGCAGAGGAGCAAAAAGAGGATGACCTTGTATACCACAGTGAGAAACTTGCTGTTGCATATGGAATCTTGCAGACACCAAATGGTAGTCCAATTCAGATTCTGAAGAACCTCCGAATATGCGGTGACTGCCATTCGTTTATGAAATTTGTCTCCAGTGTTGCCAAGCGCAAAATCATTCTCCGAGATGGAAATAGGTTCCACCATTTTGAAGATGGTTTGTGCTCTTGTGGTGATTATTGGTGACCTTGGTGGATGAGCATTCAGCAGAAACCTTGATTTATTCATATTTTTCTTTCTTCATACAGAATATTTATTAGATTAGGGATGTAACAGTGTTGGATTTCCTTCTTGTATATTAATACCTCGAGCTTTAATACTATCCGACAGGTTTGTTTACTGTCATTTTTCCGCCTATTGCATCTATTTAACGCAATCATGTTCACATATTCAACTCTAAGAACAGAGGCATCATTAGAAAAGAAAATAAGCCAAAGAAAAAATTCAGGACTCAATGTCCGAAAGCCAAACATATAAACGATGTTCGAAAATTTCCTTAAAAAAGCTCGTTGTTTACACATGGTATCATCCAAAAAAGGAGGAAAATATTGCTCATACTGTTACAATGGTGTTTAATGTTGTGGGGAGGGGAAGGAAGGGAACAAAAAGGATAAACAATTGTGTGAATACATTTGAATTAATCTTAACATAACCTACAAGTGGTAGCAAACATTCCACGAATTCTGAATCAACCTCCCAGAATCCCTCAGAACTCGGAAGTATACAAGAACATTATAACCGGAACAAGAGCGCATCCCCTTCAGCCTTGCCGAACGCCTCTTCCCACCCTCTAACTTCCTGGCCAAGGATCCACTTGCACGGGTTTCATTTGACTGTTTGGATCAGACAGGCAGCATACCAGCAGGTATACAGGTAGTCTTCCCTGTGAAAATCTGTGCAAAGCAACAACACTCAAACCTTTATAACAAGGATCATTCAGATTTGCTTCTGAGACTATAAATATTGCCAATAATTCCAACAATGCTGACTGCTACTGCCATTACCAACATGAACCATGACAAGGTCTTCTCTACAACGCTCAAGCCTTCCCCTTTCCGACCTAACTTTAAAGCAATGAGGGAAGGAAATATAAACCCCAATGACACGGCAGTTGTTGCCCCTGTAAACTTAAATGCTGTCCAAATGTTGGGAATCACGGTAGATCCTAAATAAATAAGCCCCAGCAGAACCAGTGTCAATACAAAACATCTCTTCCTACTCTCCATGAGAGGAGGTGATCCCTCAAACACCAAGGCGTCCACTGTTTGCCTCAAGGAAAAATGGACAACAGGGAAAACAAGAAGCAAATGGAAAATGTACCCAACCCTGACAATATAATTCAGTGCTGAGCTGAAACGGATTCCAAGGTCTTTATCAAAGTTGGTCAGAATATCAGACTCTGTATCTTTCCCAAAGAGTAGATATCCTGCAATGGCTGTCAAAGAATAGATCACAATGCAAAGAACAGTTGTGATCCTTCCAACCCGATTCATCTTTTGAGGAGACCGGCCTTCAAGCTCATTGTATATAGGTTGAACATTAAAGTGACAAACATAAGCATTGGTCATGATAGGAATCACCACAAGCAAATCCAAGATTGCCTTGGTCGACCCAAAATCCGGTGACATCCTTGGAGAATCAATTTTCCCTTCAACAAGCTTAATAAACGCGATAGCGCAAGCAACTACAACAAACACAACTGCAAGAGCTACCGAAGCAGCTGAAGTCAAGCTCAAGGAGTCAATCTTCTCCAAGGCGCAAAGTGGTGCCAGACAAACCACCACCACAGCAAAAATCAGAAGCATTCGATGATCCCAAACCCCATGTCCTAACCATTGATCGAAAACCCCAATATGATGGAGTGAACCAGACATAACATCACCCATAATTATCAAATACACCACCAACACCCCTGCATTATTGATAATTATGCAGATCTCCGACAGAATCCTCCAGGGCCTACCCAGTGCACATTGAACAACCTCCCCATAAGACGATGCCTTACACAAAACCGAAAACCTCACCAACAATTCAACACTAATTTCTGACAAAATACCCATCAAAATTATCAAAACAAACCCCCAAACCAATCCAAGAACCTTCATGGTAGCAGGTAAAGCCATAATCCCAGCCCCAATGATCGATGTCGTGAGATTAAACACCGCCCCGGAGATTCCAGACCCATTATTAGACCCCTCAACAATTAAAGGATAACTACCAATATCGAAATCAAGATTATCATCGAAATCATCACCGCCATCATTCCCATTCAAATTCTTGGAATCTAGAAAGCTTTCCTCATCAAAATCCGATAATTTGGAATGGGATTTTGAAAGATTTTCTGGGTTTTCAGAATCATACTGCGATTGCAATTCCACGTACGACTTCTTAGGGATAGCTGAATAGTTGCTATCCATTGTAATAGGAACAAAGCAAGATAAAGATATCAAAGCAATTCAGATCTGAGAAAAGAAGAAGAAGATGCATGAAAAACTTACACAGAGAAATGGGGTTTCCGCATTCAGATTGGAAATGGAGAAAAGATTTGAGCTTTGTGATGTTTTCTCGGCGGTGATCTTTGGATCTCAAAAGGTCAACAACTTCCCTCTCCTTTGCGACCAATGGAAGATAGGCTTTGGGAGTAAATAAGGTTTTGCAATTGGCTGATTTTTAAAACGTGTACTTTTCGGCGCCGTGGATTTTGGATTTATATTTAATTTTCCTCCTACCAAGTCTAAAATATCGATATTTTCATCGAAATTTCCGTATTTTTAGACTACCAATATTTCCGATATAATCGATATTTTAGACATTGATAGGAACTCTATGTGGTATTAAGTCACTCATGGATCTTACCATGCAATGAATGAAGTGTAAAATATTGTACTAATTTATTATATATAAATGATTATGATATGTTTAAATTTCCTTCATTAATTACTACATATCTCACAATGTTTGGCAGCTCGCTATATAATCAACTTAAATCAGTTAAATCCATCATGCAATGCATTTCCTTTCAATTTTTTTGTGATAAACTAATAGATAATTGATTAAATAAACATCCTGCAAAGTTTCAATAAAAATTTCCAAGTTTTTCTTACAATTTCCGTGGTTTTTATTCAATTTTTATGGATATCGATAATATTCCGATATTTCCATCGAAATTTCCGTGTTTTTGGACTACTGATATTTCCGATATCATCGATATTTTATACACCCAATTGTCTTTTCTACCCACTCATTTTTTATAAAAATTTTAATTATAAATTTGCCCATTTGTAAAACGACAAATAAAAATTGTTATTTGTTGCAGTCTTATTAGATTAGAAATGTGATTATGTAAATCTTAGTGTATCTAGGGATATCTTTGAATATTTCCTTTAGTAGTTAATATCCAATTAGAGCTGTAATCCTAAAAGGGTAAGGAAAAATAAAGGCACAATGGGATAGAATAGAACACACCTCATAATTACACATCTCTCTCTTCTCTCTCTATGTGCCGCACCTCTCTCTCTCAATGGCCTCCATAATCGTTCAATAAATTATTCCTACAACACGTTATCAACACACTCTTGACGCTACACTAAAAAGAGTTTGATCTTCAATCAGGGGAGTATTACGTTTTAATCATTCATTTTATGATAAAGTTTTTATTTTATTGAATTGATCTACGTGCTATTGATTCAATTTAATTTTTCTTTGTTGAACGTGATAATCGCATTGCAGATGCAATTCTGACTTTCAGAGAAATATCTTATACACATTCAAAGGCTCAGTTGTTTTCTGCCAATCAGGTTTTTTTAAAATAAATTAAGATATTTGAAACACCATGAAGTATGAAAGTATTCCTCATGATGTATAAACCCCCTATATTTATATTTTCCTTTCAATTATATATATTGTATATGTTCATATATTTGTCAATATATATATGTTCATGCATACACAATTATAAATTCACTATGTGAAATTTGTGAGTCAAAGAATCTAAATAAAATAGAAGCATGATTTTTTTAAATTTTTTTTGGGGTTCTGAAAACCCTAAATAATAGAAAATCGAAAAAAAGAAAAAGAAAAAAAAAGAGGGGAAAATCGCACTAGAGCCGCATTCATGCCTAAGCCTCTTAAAGTTAGCCATGCCCTTTTTGAGCCGTGAGCCATCCAACCAAAAGAGCCAAGCCGACTCTGTTCCAAAACTCAGATGCACAGAACCACTCTGAGGTTCGAGACGGAGCCGTTTTGATGTTTTGTCACCTGCATAGCTGGATTCACCATATTTCCAGGCGGAAACCTTGATACCGACCATGGTTTAGGCCATGGTAGTAACATGGCAAATCGTTCCAACGATTTCTAGCATATCCCATTGATGTTCGACGGATTTTAAGAGATTCTAGAATAATCTCCGAATTTTTGGACTTCTCCGACATCTTGATCTTTTTATGTCAAACCTTCATGGATTCCGACCTTCTATTTTGGACTAATATTGTCGCCGCCGTGGCAACACCACCCTCTTCCCCGACGACTTTCACACACCCAGCACCTTTGGGATTTGTTTGGACACACCCATCGAGGCCTTAGGCCTCTCGATGCTCAACCCACGTGTGACCTAACCCACTGTTTGGGCTTAGGACTTGTTTTTCCATAATGGCCCTTCAGTTTTTGGGCTTGCCTTGGGTCAACATATAAGGGTCTGCAGCATCCCGATATCCCCAACTTAATTTGGGCTGGTTTTTCTCTTGTTTTAGCCCACAACTAGCCTAAAGCTGGGCTGCTGTCCATCACAGCCCAAAAATTATCTCTGGGTTATTTCCTTGCCTTGGCCTGTAACCCAACTTTGTCTGGGTTTGCAACTCATTCAACCTAAGCCTAATTTTGGGCTTGATTCTTTATGTCTAGCCTGCAGCCAACATTAAATCATTTAAAGGCGTAGACAAATTTTATTTTTGCTTCTACGATGGACCCCAAATGGTCTCGATCTATTAAATTAATTAAAGTGATCAGCAGTTCATTAATCTGACAATTAATCCAAAATTATTGGCTTGAAGCCTGCTTTTGGACATTAACAATTTAATATTTTATTTTTCTTTGAACTATTGACTCCCTTTCGTAGTCTTGAAACACTCACACTTAAGTTCCTAAAGCAACCCAAATCCACTACACTTAGTTGTTTATTGTATTATGTGTTCTTACAGGTACCTCCTTTTATGAACCGGAAGTTCATAACTAAACTCGAACCTGTAGTTTCGAATTTAGTGTCTTTGAAACCCTAAGTTTTCATAAAATAATACACCCCTGAAAACCTGACGTTTTTCATGAAAACCATGTCTTAGAACTCGAATGTTCTAACTTTGATGCTTATGGATATCTTATTTCCATAGCATAAATCACAATTTTGTTCCCTTCATTCAGTGGATTGTCGAACCATAACAAGTTCAATTTCACAGATTTGGACGTTTCTAATAGAAACCACTTTATGTGGGGTACAAGACGTGAATCTCCACTTGACTATCAAGTAGCTGAGAAACCATTAAAGCCAACAATGGCATGGAAGAGCTCAATAAGCTCCCGCCATGCTCTTCATTCGAAGACTTATGCCTGAAGCATTACAAATGGAAGTACCTTCCGAACAAGGATTCCATGGCTCTTTAGCTCGCTCATACGGACTGTCTGATCATGCGAGATATTGTCTGAAGCAAACCATGATTACATCTATGAATGACTACTATTCTGAAGTTTATAAATTTGATCAAATTTTGACTGGAGAATACTTTTCTCGTCTTTCCATGTTTCTAACTCGTTCCTGAAGTAACAATGTAGAAAGTAGAAGTTTACCAAATTCTCGGATCTAATTACTACCACAAACATGAAAGAAAGGTATAGACCCAAGTTCAGTTGGAGTCTACCGAACGATATAGACTTAGTTTGGATGGAGTCTACTGAACAGTATAGACTCAGTTCAGCTGGAGTCTACTAAGACCTAAAACTTTGAGAATAAGGAATAATATTCCAGAACCTCAACCCTGCAGAATCTACTTCTATCTCGATGGAATTAGATCATTAGTTATGCACTTGTTCGTGCCCCTACCAATGTTGTTGAGGAGTACCATTCTAGTAGTCAATATGTGAAACTAATTTTGCTCCACCGAACATCGTTGAACGAGCAGAATTTTGACATGGATGGCCATGTTAGCTGAATCCCCTCAGCAAACCATTTACTTTGTGAACATTTTTTCATGTTCTTGGATTCAAGTTTGGTGTTTGTTTTTCATTATGGACAATCTTATTGATATTGTCCTCGAATACGAGTTAATTGAATCATGTTTCTTGTATACATGTGACCGAATTCAATTAAACACATGATTAGGTATGAATGTGAGAAAGTTAGTTGTCTGGATGAATATGATACTACGCACACTGACTTTATACCTAAATCACATCTCTAGCAATGACTTCAGGTATATCCAACCTAATTATGAGCATTGGCACGCTCTTCGTTGTATGAATGGTACTAAATTACCATGTCAGATACCTTATATTCTCCCCGTTTCGGAAGAACATTGTTGAGTCTTACGGATATTCGAGAGAACAATGATCATTAATGAAACCACTGAAGAAAATAGAGTGGAATATCTTTGCACCACCTCCAAAAATGCAAACCATATAAATACTTATGGTTTTGGTTGATGAATCGACAAACTGGTCACATGTTTGTCCACGCACATTGCTGCTAAACCTCATGGCCGATTTTAAGGGTTCACCTCCCTACTTATCCCTTAAAGTCTAGGAGACTGGATAATGCAGGAAATTTTATATTGACGATTTTCAATAAAGTATTGCATGTCTTTTGGGTTTATAATTAAACATCAAATTCCCATGTTCACCCCAAATAGTCTCGCATAGTGATCATAAAGCGCAATTTAAATGATTGTCTGGACCCTGGTGAACATACCAAGTTTTCGGTTTCTGCCTAGGGTTATGCAATCTTGTACACAGCTATGTTGGTCCGCCTTAAGCCACATTGCCACCCGACCTATTCGACGTTACAGTTGGTTATTAGATACGAAGCTGACTCTTTGTATTTATGCATTTGGGTGCGCATTCCATGTGCCAAGTTGCACCGCTACAACGTACCAATATGGGTCATCAAAGAAGGATGTGAATCTTTGTCGATTACGATTCTTCTTCACACCAGCTCTCTTAGAGCCCTTGCATGCAATCTCTTTATCGCTCATTGGCGAGTTATCACTTCAATGAAATAGTCTTCCCACGGTTAGGCAAAGATAAGAACGTCAACGTTCCTGTAGAACAGCATGAATTTTCATGGACGTTGCCCACTATGTCTCATCTTGATCCCTATACCGCACAAGTGTGATAAGCAAGTGCAATGTATTCTAACTTTCAGAATGTTGCTCTAGACGCATTCTTCTGATCTAGCTAAAGTGACAAGATCATATACCAGCTGCAAACATGCTTCCAAGGATAGACGTACTTAAAGGACGTCAAGTCAACATCCCCGAAGGATGTATCGCCCTTGTTGGACAGTCTGGTACACCGGCGGATAACCAATCAATCTATCTTGGCCTAAAGCATGACATATCACTCAATTCATAAGATTCATTTCCCTAGAAGATGAGAACACGGCA